GATGCATCCTATCTCCATACCTTTTCAACCTATATGCAGAACAGATTATCCGGGAGGCTGGGCTCTATGAGGAGAAATGTGGGGTCAAGATTGGTGGAGATTGGTGGAACAGAAAACTACTTAAGTAAAAAAAGTTCAGATTTTAATTTTTTTTTTCCAGAGAGGGACTTGGATTTTAACTATTCAAAAAGAAGCAATGACCATGGATAGAAAGCTTTCAAAATCATTGATCCTAAATGCATTTCTGTTCAACTATTCATGAGAGTAACACACATTTGTGCCAGAACTCATGAATGTGGAGAGTAAGAAACGGGTTTCCTCTCAGCCTATGCCAGTTAATGGATTCTGCCTTAAATAGGAATGGGAATATTATTCAAGACTTGTGTTATGACCATGATAACCTATGCACTGCCCCCTGCAATACATTTGGGATTTAATAGTAAAAAATTCATCCTTAAAGATTACAGAGAACTTAAGACCTTTACAGATAAGAGTGTACAATTAAGTTTTTCATTATTTCTCTGCAGGTGATCTGATGGCACATAACAGCAACAATGTCTCTGAATTACTTTCATTTGAAAAACTGAGCACATATGTCATTCTGTCCACTCCACTCTATATATGTTAAACAGTCTTGACAGAACAAGAAAGACTGCTGAAAAAAGAACGAAGATTTGGTTCTTTTCTGGTTTAAGAGCACGTGACAGTAGATCAGGGCTCAAAGACGGAATGGTGCACAAATTCGTTAAAAACAGGATAGTATTTGTACTTAGTGCCATAAAACAAAGGGTAGATGTGGACAAATTTAAAGTTATAACTAGAAAAGGTGAATTGTTCAATAAGGTGCATTCAAATGACAACTTTTTAGCATACAGATAATCCTGCATTTCAGTTACAAGGAACCATTCTTAAGACCCACCAGGAGTTTTTAGGGTTTGTGGTACATCGTTTTATTGATAGAGTGCTGCAGTATGTCACTTGCTTATTTTAACCCATCTCTAAATTAACATGTACTGTTTCAACCCCAAGACAAATAAAGATTGGGTTTATGCAGATATTGTTAATATAAGGCAGTAACAATGAAAATGTAAAAAAAAAAAAGGCTTAAAAGAGAGAGACAGACATTTGGTCAGATTGATTCACAATGGAATCATATGCATGGAAATCTGGTGCAGAGAGTGGAGACACTGGTAATTTAGTAGAATGTCTAATACAATTGCTGGCACACTGATAAATGATGGCTGTTAAAGAAAGCAACACATTCTATTAGTAACACAGACTCCATAGCGGGTTATTTTCCCTCTCCTTAGTGATGGTTTTACATACCAAATCTGGTTTCAATCTGAAGGTCAGGGGCAAGGAGTACAGCATGGAGTATACGGTGGTGAGTACTGTGGACAGCCAAGACTGCTGCACCTCACGGCTTCTTGGAATGCGGTCAGTGGTATACTAGAAGGAAATGGGAAAAGAAACTGGGTCATTATCAAAGTTAAACATAGTAATAGTCAACATTCATAGAGGAAATACTTCTGGTTTTTTCATTATTTTAAAAAATTGTACTATGGTGAAAATACAGATAATAAAAGGTTGCTATTTAAGCCATATTTTTAGTGCACAATACAGTCACATAAATATCCTCACCATATTGTGCTACTATCACCATTTTCCATCTCCAAAAATTTTACAACAGCCGAACAGAAACTCAGTAAAACTCTCACGACATCTGACCCATGGTAACAACTGAGAAAATCTTTTGTCTCAATGCATTTGCCTATTTATTTCATATAAGTCGGATCATACAATACCTGTCCTTTTATACCTGATTACTTCATACAGCATGTTCTCAAGGTTTATTCAGGTCATAATCAGAGTTCTACTTCCCTTTATAGCTCCGTTGTATGTATGTACCACATTTTACTCATCCATTCATCTGTTCATGGATACTTGAGCAATTTCTATTTTTTGGATGTTGTAAATAGTATAAATAGCTTAACACGCTGATATAAAAAAGAGTTATTACCAATCAACATATAACAAAGTACCTAGTATCAAAACATGAACTGGCACTAGCCACTTTGAATGAGATAATGATATGATCTATTATGCTTTCTGAAACTGAGGAGGACCTGAGGCCATTTGCTGTAGAAGGTCAAGGACTATAGTCTTTAATATAGATTGAAGTTTAACATCAAGAAAACAAAGATTCTCACCACTGTGCCAGTTGGTAGTACCATGACAGAGGGAGAAGAGATTGAGATTGTTAACAGCTTCAGTTTGCTTGGCTCCACAGTCAACACTCTTGGTATCAGCAGCCAGGAAATCAAAGGATGAACTGCATTGGGAAAATCTGCTGTCAGGAATCTCTCCAGTGTACAGAAGAACAATGATGTCAGTCTACAGACTAAGTTGCACCTGATCCAGGTCTTGGTCTTTGCAATTATGTCTTTCTACTACAGCATCAGAGAGCTGGACAATGACTAAGGATGACAGAAGAATCATCAATGCCTTTGACTTGTGGTGCTGGAGAAGAGTAATGAACATACTATGGACTGCTAAGAGAATAAACAAGTCTGTTCTGGAGAGGGTGGAACCACGTTGTTCCTTGGGGGTAAGGATTTTGAAGCTTCATCTCACATACTTTGGGCACATGACCAGAAGGGACCAGTCCTTAAAGAAGGACATCATGCTTGAAAGGGTGGAGGGACAGCACAAGATAAAACAACCGTGGATGAAATGGATTGACTCAGTAACTGGGGTGTAATGTGGTTTTAAGATGTGTCAGAGAC